GTTGAGATGAGGTTGAGGATACCAGAAAAGAGAAGATTGAGATGATATCAGAAAGGAGGCTGAGATAATACCAGAAAAGAGAAGGTTGAGATGATACCAGAAAAGAGAAGGTTGAGATGAGGTTGAGGATACCAGAAAAGAAGATTGATACCAGAAAGAAGGTTGAGAGGATACCAGAAAAGAGGAGATTGAGAGGATAGCACAAAGGAGAAAGTTGAGGTGATACCAGAAAGGAGGTTGAGATGATACCAGAAAGGAGACAGTTGAGATGATGCCAAAAGAAGAAGGCACCTTCTCCCCTGGTCTTCAGACTTCCCTTTGCATTTATTTTCTCCTGCCACTTTTCATTCATGGGTGTCTCTTGTCCTTAGCGGCACCACAAGCACTTCCACCGTGCCTAGGATGACAGTCCCTTGTATTCCCAGCAAAAGATTGTCACTTTTGGAGCCGTTGTTACCTCCCTGAAGATACTTAAGGGGCCCCCCGTGTTCCTTTGTTCCCAGGAGGAAGGCTGACCTGGATCAGAGTGATGGAGAGGAAGATTTTTACTACACCGAGCTGGATGTCAACGTGGATTCCTTGACCGACGGTCTCTCCAGCCTGACTCCCGTCTCCCCAACCTCCCCGGTTCCCCCTCCCTTTCCAGTCCTGGAGGAGGTCCAGAAAATCCTGCCTATTCCACTCAACCCCAAGGTTTCCGTGGTGTCTCACCTGAGCCAGTCGGCACCCCTAAACCTCCTCAGCCAGTCGGCACCCACAGGTCTGGCGCACATCCAAACCGATCATGCCTATCAGGTGTGTGTTTCCAGTCATCCAGAGGAGCCTTTCCGGCCAGATCAGTGTCCACCAGATCCCACATGTGTGAAGGATTCAAATTGACTACAGGTAGTCCTTGACTTCCATAGTCGAGCTGGAAATATTTCCATGGCTAAGCGTTTTGCCCTGTGTTACGATTTTCCTTGCCACCGTTGCTAAGTGAACCGCTGCAGTTGTTAAGTTAGTCACGCAGTTGTTACGAGAATCTGGCTCCCCCGTTTGACTTCGCTCGTTAGAAGGTCGTAAAAGAGGATCGCATGATCCTGGGACACCCTAACCATCGTAAATGTGGACCAGTTGCCAAGCGGTTAAATTTTGATGATGTGACATGGCGGATGCTACAACGGTTGTAAGTGTGAAAAACAGTCCTATGTCACTTTTTTTCAGTGCCGTTGTAGCTTCGAATGGTCACTAAACAGACATAAGTCAAGGACTACCTGTACTTTGTTGTTTTGTGCCTATGATACAAGAATCTTCCCAGGCTGTTTGCCCTTTCTTGGGAACAATCAGATGGAACTTGATGGGAGGGGGTGAGGCCTCAGCTTCTTGCGGCTATACAAGGCTACTTCCCTGCTTAATGACTCTGTAATGACCCGGGCGTGGCACAAAAATAACGAAGTCACCAAAGTAGAATACATTGGCCCCAATGCCCAGTTATCCTCATCGGGAGATCAAACTCTTCCAAAAACAGTCTACAAAGGAAAGAAATGCAGTCCGAACCCAAAGTAAAGATAAATTAAAAATTAAAAAAAACCAACACTGAAGTAATTAACACGACAGGCCAGGATAATAAATTGCAGACTTCCAAATGATAACGAAGCACACACAGTTGGAAAGATGCCAAGACCCAGATAAGCCTCGACCAAGATAATGTACACTTTGCTTCCAGCAAGGTGCTGTGTGCAAACCGCCCTTCTTATATCCTGTTCTCCCAGCTGCAACTAATGAAAGGGATCAGGGCCCTTTTCTCTCCCGTAAGCCATGTTGCTCCCTTCTCTGTTCCTCCCTGCATGCCCTAAGGCGAAGAGAGGGTGTCCCTGGGTCTTTCCATGAATGCCAGCTGGACTGTGCTCTTCCCCTGTTTCTTCCACAGCCAGAGGAGCCACACTCCCACTCCCTCCTGTCGGTTGCTCAGTCTCCCCCTCAGAATCGAACTCCCAACAAGGGCATGACAGCCTCCTCCTTTCGCTGACTGATAAAAGTTCCCCAACGTTCAGTTCCTTCAGTGTCTTGTTTTGAGATGTGTCTCTTTTCGCTTTCAGGCGATGGGTCCTACCGGGGTGCTGGCGGATCTGAAGGCTCCCCCAGCTGGGATGGAAATCAGCATATCGTGGCAGCAGCCAGCCCTTTTCCCGCCATCTCTGTCCCCCGTCCTCTTCAAAAGCCCCTCAGTGAGTAATGAGAAGGCCACCCCAATATTTTTCCTTGGCCAGCAGAGAGTTGAATCGAGAGCAAAGTTTAGGAGCTTCTGGGCTACACGCAACCCCTTAGATCAGGGGTGTCCAACCTTGGCAACTTTAAGACTTGTGGACTTGCACCCTGTCATTCTCTTCCTCCTCCTCCATTCCGCAAACCCCACTTCCTTCTAGCACTGATAATGTTCCCTGCTTGGGTCATGAAACGTCTGCAAGAAAACCACCAAGCTCAGAGAGCACCAAGGACCCCATGGTTGACTTCTTAGCTGCGTCCTTGAGGTCTGCTCCCCCTTCCCTTCCCAAATGACCCACTCTCTTCTTCTTCTTCCTCTTCCTCCTCCTCCTCCTCCACCAGAGCTGCCTGACTCCAATCCGACCTGCCGATTCAGAAGAGAAACGCCTGCAAGGCCCCCCTGTGTCAGTTGCCAAAGGACAGCCATTATTGCCCTCTTCTGTGCCAAAGCCTGCAACGGGCACCAGGTGGGTGGCTTTCCGTCACATCTTCTCTTCCCCCACCCTCTGCTCCCCAGTCTGGCACCTCCAACCCAGTCTCTGGGTGACCCTAGTGCCCCCTGGCAGAGGTGGTATTCAGCAGGTTCTGACCGGTTCTGGAGAACCGGTAGCGGAAATTTGGAGTAGTTCGGATAACCGGCAAATCCCACCTCTGAATGGCCCCGCCCCCCCTCTATACTCCGCCTCCTGAGTCCCAGCTGATTGGCTGGGTCTTCTTTGGTTGCCCTGCACAGGAGAACGGAGCTGGAAAGTAGGTCAGTGGGGTGGAGAGGGAAGGGGGATTTTGCTGTATCCTTCCCCTGACACGCCCACCAAGCCATTTGTAGTAACAAATGTTAAATCCCACCACTGCGGCATTCTCAATGCTCAAGTGTGCTTGACCAGTGCATGGATACAAGAAGAAACCTGTTCCTTTCTGGAATAATTAGGTGCCCCTAGACTGCGTGCCACAGGTGGAATATAGAGCCATTTGTGCGGGCACGCAAGCCCCAGCCAAAATTATCTGCACTGCTCGTGCGTGTGCCTCCCAGCTGAGTTTTGGCCCATTTGAGGCTGTTTTCGCCCTTCCGGGGGTTCGAGGGAAGCCTCTGCAGCCTCGGGAGGCTGAAAAACAGGACTTCTGGAAATAGCGGAAGTGCCGAAACCGGCCCATTTTTCGGCCTGCAAAGGCTTCCCTCGAGCCTTCAGGAGGGCAAAAAAGGCCTCAAATGGGCCGAAAATCAGCTGGGAGGTGTGCGCATGCACAATGCAGGTAAGGGGGGTTGCGTGGGGGGTCAGGGCACATTGCATTGTGAGTGACGGCGCACGCTTTCAGCACACCACAACAAAAAGGTTCGCCATCACTGCCCTAGACCTCACCATCTGTTCCAAATTCAATTTTTTGTGTGTGTGCCCTTTGGGCTTGGAAGGTAAGCTATATAAATCTCTTTTCCTGGTTACTCAAAGCCTGGTAGTGTTAGACTTATGAATACAGTTAAGCCCCAAATTTCCATCGCTAAACAAGAGGGCTCAGTGAGTTTTGCACCATTTTATGGCCTTTCTGGTCAAAGGTTTGAAGCAGTTGTTAAGTGAGTAACATGGCTGTTAACTGACTGTGGCTTCCCGATTGACTTAGCTCGTCAGAAGGTTGCAAAAGGGGATCACAGACCTCAGGACACTGCGACATGTATGTGTGTATATGTGTGTGTGTGTATATATATATTTTCTTAAGTTTTTGTGGGTACTTACATGTATGGTATTCAGCTTTGTTCGGGTATTTTCTCACATCATTGTAGTTGTGCTTTTAAAGTTGTAGCAATGTTTCGGCAGAATTCTAATCTGCCATCATCAGGCTTGTGTATTGTGTTCGTCTGTGAGTCAGCCTTTCACAGCCGTTTCTGTTTTAAATTTGGTGCTAGCCATCTGCTGTGCCAGAATGTTTTTTTCTTATCCTGATTGGTTGGGAGTCTTGGTCTGTGTTTATTGGTCTTGGAGTTTGCTGTGTTCTGCTTGATTGGTGTTTCTAATATCTTCTGTCTGTTTTGTAGCTTTTTTCATCTTGATTGGCTGGCAACATTGTGTTTCCTGTATTGGAGGCTTTTAGTGCGGCTTGGCTCTGAGTAAATGGATGGCTATCATTTATTAGGAAGCTAGGTTTCATCTGGGTGCCTGGTTGGGGTGTGTTTGAGCTGGAGGTATCAGGGGGGATCTGTCTGTGCCCAGGTGTTTGCCTGGCTTGTGGTGTGGAGATTTTTTTGTTTGAGAAGGCAGGCTTCCAAATAATTGACCGTCTGGTGGAATCATCTCTTCTATTCATGCTTTTTTCAATCTCTATGGCTTCTCTGATAATTCAGTGGCTGGGGTTTTCTATAGTGGCTAGGGTTTTGGTGCCATTGAAATCGATGCTATGACCTGTGGCTTTCATGTGTTGGACTAGTGAGGAAGTGTGTTCCAGCTTTTTTACTGCATTTTTGTGTACATCCAGGCGGGTACTTATTCTTCTATTGGTCTGTCCGATGTATGTGGCAGGGCATGATGCGCAGGGGATTTCATATATGCCTTGGTTTTCCAAATCAATTTTATCTCTGGGGTTTC